ATACAAGAAGAAACCATCAAAACCAGGAAGGAAACCACCAAAACGGACGGAGCAAACGATGCACGGAGGCGGCGACCCCGCCGAGCTCCCCCAGAACCCACCTGGCGTCGTGTCCGGGCTCTTCCAGCTGCCGCCGCAGCTGCGCCACCACGGCCAGGATGACGGCCTGGACGCAGAGCTTGCAGGGATGGTCCCGCAGCAGCTCGCGGCGCCCCACGAGCCGCTGGAAGTTGAGCACCGGGAAAGGCCACGCGGCCACCAGATCGCGCAGGACCAGGGGCCGCCCGTCCAGGAACGCCGCTTGGAAGAGGATGGGGTAGAGGTGGGCGGGGAGCGCGGGCAGGACGGGCAGCGGGTGGTGGGCCACGATGCGGCGGGCGCAGAGGAAGAGGAGAGAATCCGAATATCCGGGCGGGAGTTGGCGCTTGGGGATGCACGGCGGGATTTGGGTGGAGCGGCTGCGCGACGGAGCCATGGCGGCCGATCGGGGAAGGTTCCGGAATTCCGGTTTTCCCGTCGGCGGCGCCGCCCGTGGGGAAGCTGTGGGAGAAATGGGGTGGGGGATGGGATGGGGAGTTCCTAAAAATGGGGGCCAGGAGTGAGGCGCACCCAGGGATCCCCCAAACCTGTCCGGGGACCCCAAAACCAGTATGGGGGCACCAAAACCAGTCCAGGGACCCCAAACCCAACCCAGGGACTCCTAAACCAGTCCAGGGACCCCAAACCCAGCCCAGAGACCCCAAAACCAGTCCAGGGACCCCAAACCCAACCCAGGGACTCCTAAACCAGTCCAGGGACCCCAAACCCAGCCCAGAGACCCCAAAACCAGTCCAGGGACCCCAAACCCAACCCAGGGACTCCTAAACCAGTCCAGGGACCCCAAACCCAGCCCAGAGACCCCAAAACCATTTCAGGCATTCCCAAACCAGTCCAGAGATCCCCCAAATCTGTCCAGGGACCCAAAACCAGTTTGGGGGTTTCTAAACCGGTTTGGGGGCCCCAAAACCAGTCCAGGGACCCCAAACTGGTCCAAAGATCCCCCAAACCAACAGTTCAGGGACCCCAAACCCAGCCCAGAGACCCCAAAACCAGTTCAGGGACCCCAAAACCAGTCCAGGGACCCCCAAACCCAGCCCAGAGACCCCAAAACCATTTCAGGCATTCCCAAACCAGTCCAGAGATCCCCCAAATCTGTCCAGGGACCCAAAACCAGTTTGGGGGTTTCTAAACCGGTTTGGGGGCCCCAAAACCAGTCCAGGGACCCCAAACCGGTCCAAAGATCCCCCAAACCAATCCAGGACACCCTGAACCAGTCCAGGGACCCTGAAACCAGTCCAGGGACCCTAAACCAGTTCAGGGACACCCAAAGTGCTCCAGAGATCCCCTAAACTAGTCCAGGGACCCCAAAACCACTATGGGGACCCCAAACCCAGCTCAGAGACCCCAAAACCAGTTTGAAGACCCCTAAACCAGTCCAGAAACCCCAATATCACTCAGGATTCCCAAACCCAGCCCAGGGACCCCGAAACCAGTCTGAAGGTTTCTAAACCAGTTTGGGGACCCCAAACCCAGTCCAGAGACCCCAAAACCAGTCCAGGGACCCCCAAAACCAGTCCAGAGACCCCCAAACCAGTTTGAGGACCCCTAAACCAGTCCAGAAACCCCAATATCACTCTGAGGATTCCCAAACCCAGCCCAGGGACCCCGAAACCAGTCTGAAGGTTTCTAAACCAGTTTGGGGACCCCAAACCCAGTCCAGAGACCCCAAAACCAGTCCAGAGACCCCAAAACCAGCTCAGAGACCCCAAAACCAGTCTGAAGGTTTCTAAACCAGTTTGGGGACCCCAAACCCAGTCCAGAGACCCCAAAACCAGTCCAGAGACCCCAAAACCAGCTCAGAGACCCCAAAACCAGTTTAAGGATTCCCAAACCAGTCCAGAGAGCCCCAAACCAGTTTGGAGATTTCTAAACCAGTCCAGAAACCCCAAAATCAATCCAGGGATCCCCCAAATCTGACCAGGGACCCCAAAACCACTTTGGGGACCCCTAAACCAGACCAGGGACCCCAAACCCAGCCCAGAGACCCCAAAACCAGTTCAGGCATTCCCAAACCAGTCCAGGGACCCCAAAACCAGTCCAGTGAACCCAAAACCAGTCCAGGGTCCCCAAAACCACTTTGGGGACCCCAAAACCAGTCCAGAAAAGTTTGGGGATTTCTAAACCTGTTTGGGGGCCCAAACCCAGACCCAAGACCCCAAACCCAGCCCAGAGACCCCAAAACCAGTCCAGGAACCCGAAACTGGTCCAGAGATCCCAAACCCGGCTCAGGGACTCCTAAACCAGTTTAGGGGTTTCTAAACCAGTTTGGGGACCCCAAACCCAGTCCAGGGACCCCAAACCCAGCCCAGAGTCCCCAAAACCAGCTCAGGGATTTTCAACCCAGTCCAGAGACCCCAAACGGGTCCAGAGACCCCAAACCCAGTCCAGGATCCCCTGAACCACTTTGGGGACCCCAAAACCACTTTGGGGACCCCAAAACCAATCCAGAAACCCCATAATCAATCCAGGCATCCCCAAACCCAGCTCAGGGACCCCTAAACCAGTTTGGGGACCCCTAAACCGGTCCAGGGATACCCAAACCCAGGCCAGAGACCCCAAAACCAGTTCAGGGATTTTCAAACCAGTCCAGGGATCCCCTAAACCAGTCCAGGGTCCCCAAAAACACTTTGGGGACCCCACAAACCAGTCCAGGACCCTCTAAACCACTCCAGGGACCCCAAAACCACTCCAGGGACCCCAAAACAGTCCAGAACCCCCAAAGTCCCCCCAAACGAGCCCCGGGACCCCCAAACCTTTCACGGACTCCCCAAATCCCCCTGACTGAGCCCAGGGACCCCTCCCCGCCCACCCCAAAACCCACCCCAGGGATCCCCTAAAACTGGACCCCCCATTTTGGGGACCGTCCCCATTTTGGGGACCCACCCATAGGACTCCTTATTTTGGGACCCCACCATTTTGGGGACCTTCTTCACTTTGGGGACCCCCCTCAGGCCTTGGGGAGCCATTTGGGGACCCTCCATTTTGGGGACCTCCTCATTTTGGGGACCATCCCCATTTTGGGGACCCCCCTCCATTTTGGGACCCCCTCATTTTGGGGACTGTCCCCATTTTGGGGATCCCCTCCATGGGACCCCCCCCATTTGGGGGACCCCCCATTTTGGGGACCGTCCCCATTTTGGGGACCCCCTCATTTTGGGGATCTTCTCCACCTTGGTGACCCCATTTTGATTGTCTCCTACCCATGGGACCCCCCAATTTTGGGGACCTTCTTCACTTTGGGGACCATCCCCATCTTGGTGACCCAAGAT